CAGGAAGGCCCTCCGATCAACCAGGCTGAGACAGAGACTCTGTTCTCCCCACTGAAACTGTACTGATGCACAGAAAGGAACACACAAGTCTCGCTCCACCGACAGCTTACGTACCAAGGAGTTGCCACGTGGAACCGAAAACCACTGTGGGAAGCAGAGACCAGAACCGCAGATACACTCCATCCCAAAGGAATGCCCCCGCCATGGTGCTACAGACGTGGCACAGAAGGTGGCTATCCTGGCACTGGGGAGGGAGGTCACGTTCCTCTCTATACACGGTGGCAGGCTCCACCAGAGGATCAGCGCGAGGCTGGCCCATCCTCAGGTTCAGTCTCCCTCGAGAGACACCAGCTGCAGGCTTGAAACCAGGCTTCCCACTTGCCAGGCAGGTTCTCTATCCTCCAGGTCGACAGCTCTCAAGGTGCTATCCAGGGACCACTGGTCCTCTGCAACAGGCCTGTGAAACCACACTGCCTTTTTACTCACCACACCATTCAGAAGCCTGAAAGAGATGTAGAAGCATTAAGGGCTGCAGTGGGCTGTAACCCAACAATTTGGTCTGGGCTATAAACATGGAGGTAGGTATTACCACAGGCACCGCTTTCATCTCCTTGGGCTGCACCCGGAAGGCACAGCCATGGCTGTTACGCTCCACAAAGAACACAGCTCAGACAGGACATACCTAGTGCGCCACAGACCGGACCGAACGTGCAGGTGAGCTCAAAGGCCTTTGATACAAGGAAGATTACCTTGTGGATACAAAGCTCAGGCAAAAGTCCCAAGAAACCACGTTCAGACAGGACAGCTGCCGTGTCAGCCACATGTGTTACCAGAACTTTACACAACTAAGTGAAAATTTTAAGAAAAGAAGGCAGGTGTCTCTAAATTCTCCAGTAACAAAACTGGAAGAATTCAGATGCCAAAATTTAACAGGGAAACCTACTAAAACCCAGCAGCCTAAGCTGCACTTTAGCGACGGATACAAACACGAGGAAAGTATTTCAGGGACTTGCCCAGTCTTCGTGGAGCAGCACTCGCTCATGTCCCACTTCAGCTAGGACAACACAACAACATTTCAGCTTACAAGTGCTGCTGGAGACAAAATATGGAACTACTCTCAAGAATCCAGTTCAGTACTTGGACTGTCTCTCAGAGGACGGTTCAAAAAGATTTTGAAATGTCTGTCCGTGATCCGTTGAGGGACGTGTTCTGCATCTGAGATGCACTGAGATGCAGTGTTCTGCACTAGAAGTGGCTCCACTGGCGGACTGCAAAGAAACAACGATTTTTTTCATCCTAACAATACTCCTGATTTAAGCCCAGCATGCTTCAGGAGTTCATCAGGAGGCTTCTCTTACTTTCCTGGATTATACAACTGCTTCATTGCAAACCCTTACAAACAAAACTGAACTTTGTAGTCATCCGGAAAGTATATCCCTAGGCAACAGGGAAATAAATTCCATGTAACAGCCACCATAAAGTACATAGAGTAGACAGACAGACGCACAGTCCACTCTAATGCATGAATCACTGTACAGGAATGAGTACGCTTGCCTTCTTTCCTACCATACACAATATTTCTGGTAAGACGTACGTTGAGCTTGGCACCGCTTTTCTACAGCACCAAAAGCTTACGAACACTCAAGTAATCAAATAGATATCATGCACAAAAAACTTGAAATCCCTGCCTAAATGAACGCAACTTCCCACTGGCGTCAGTGGAAGTTACCGGGAGGGAAAACAGTGCAACTTGCTCCAGTGACTGTACTGCGCTTAACTCCGCTTCTACAGAAAGGCTGATATTAAATGCTTCTAAAAACACCAAAGCATGACCGAACAGACATATCTATCCGACATCTCTAAATGCTATACGAAGTGACCTTAGCCTGCATGAGACAGCCTAATTTTCATCAAGAAATTACTGGAGTGTAGCAAGAGAGACACTTCGGGGTCAATTTTCACAGCACTGCGAGGACCTAAAACTATTAATAAATTTGTACAGTACACAGAGAAATTGTAGACCCATGTTATGTAACACAAGTGCAAGGAATTTCTGAAGAAGAGAAAACTGAAGCAAAGAACCTAGTCAAAAAGAGAAACAAGGCCAGTGGGGGGCAGAAAGTCGGTTTGGAGATTCCTAAACATCAGAACATACAGCACATAATACCAAGAACGAAAGACAAATTACTACAAAAACATTTTCATGTATTTTCTGAGATTCCCCTTAGTTTCTCGGCATGAAAACCAGCCTATACCAAAACTCAAGGCCACGAAAACGACGTTTTTCTTACGCTTATTAGAGGTTGAAGTGTATTTTTAAGCGTCACAGAAACTAAATGAAAATCTCTTAGACAAGGTCAACGCTTAGCACTACTCATCCAGAAGCGTTTTGTTTGAAGAATCACATGAGATTTAAAAAGACATTAAACCAGAACCTGTGGCCTTTTCCGTGCTTTAAAAAACTCTGGTAAGTTTTGCTGAAGTTTGACAAGAGAGGATACAGAATGCCAAGAACACAAGCTGATGCAAAAGCTTCTGTCACTTTCTCGAAATAGTTGTCTGTTTCTTCCGCCTCCTTCATCTCCACAGAAAGGAGCGAGCGCTGCCAACGGAAATTTCACAGGGATTGGTGTCTTTAGCATAACACACTTTAATAAACTGTATTTTAAGTCTTTTAAAATATATTCCGCAAAGTTTGAACAGACTTCACAGAAACCAGAACATGGGTTACTTAGAATATTTTCATTTATCAAAATTAATTTCATATACTTGCTATAAACTTGCTGTTAGAATTAAAGAATAATGAAAAGCTGTTATTCGATATCAGGAGCTCTAATGCATGTGACACAAGACCTTGGACCCACATGGAGTTTACATTTCCAATCAAATAATAAAACTGTGTAATATACTGCATATATCATCCGCTGAGCTATTCAGATAAAGTCTGATTACAGCTTATCAAACCAACCTTTACCTCCAGGAGTGCCGAAAACACTTGGAGTCATCCTACCTTCAGACGTCTCATTCATGTCTCAGGTGAACACAAGCTCACTCGGGGGTTCATATGCCCTAATTCTATGTGTTTTCGTACGACACGAAGGAAAGTTATTCCCAGCCATTTGACTCTTCCTAATAACAACTCGGCTTCATCTCCAGATCTCAGCAAGGTCCGCAGAGCGCCCAAACGAGACCATTTCGCCGGGAACACCAGAGGCCGCTCAGGAAGCGGCAGAGAGATCTACCCAGCCGGGCAGTGTCCGCGGCTGAGCCGGGCCCTCACACACACACAGACAGACAGACACAGACAGACAGACACAGACACGCTGCGGACCGCCCCGGGCCGGGCGGCGGCCGCCCAGGTGAGCGGGAGGCGGGCAGCAG